CCGACAAGACAGGGCATACCTTGATAGCAACATTCAGCAGCTGAAATTGATCGGGCAATTAAAAAGATGAAGAGCGGTAAGGCTCCAGGGCCAGATGGCTTCCCTATTGAATTTTTCAAAAAATTCTCATTCAAACTAAGCCCTCTTTTAAAAAACGTATATACCGAGGCATTGGCGCACAAGACTCTCCCTCCTACAATGACCCAGGCCACCATCTCAGTCCTTCTTAAGAAAGGAAAGGACCCTCTGAAATGTGAGTGATTTTGCATTGTGTGTCTACTCTGCTGCGACTACAAAATCTTGACCAAGGTTCTGGCTAGTAGATTGGAGTCTGTTATGCATACAGTGATACATCCAGATCAGACTGGTTTTATTAGTGGGCGGCAGCTTTTTGGCAACATACAAAGGCTTTTTAATATTCTTTATTCCCCACAAACTCCACCTACAGCAGAGGTTTTGCTTTCCCTCAATGCTCACAAAGCATTTGACCGGATAGAGTATGAGTATCTTTTTGCAACTCTGGGGAGGTTTGGTTTTGGATCGGCTTTTTGTTCGTGGATAAGGATCCTGTATGCTACACCGCAGGCCTCCGTCCGTATTTATAAAATAATCTCCAACTATTTTCCTATATGTAGGGGGACAAGACAGGGCTGTCCATTGAGCCCACTTCTGTTTGACCTCGCCATTGAACCACTAGCGGTTGCACTTAGGAGTGCCGAGGAGCTCATGGGTGTTGTTAGGGGGGTCAAACTCACAAACTGTCTCTATATGCGGACGACCTGGTACTTTACCTGTCCGATCCTTGCACCTCTATTCCTAAGGCATTAGAAATTATCTCTAGCTTTGGAGAGATTTCAGGCTACAGAATCAACCTTACTAAGAGTTTGCTCTTCCCTATTAACGACCAGGCTCGACAGATGTCTTTTGAGGTATATCAACTAAAAGAAACTTGTGACACTTTTACTTATCTTGGCATATCAGTAACCAGTAAATACAGACTTTATTCAAGCATAACTTTAAACCAGCCCTGGAAAAGGCCAAACAGGACCTTATCCTATATCGCTTGCTGGCAGGGTTAATTCTATCAAGATGATAATTATGCCCAGGTTCTTATTCTTGTTTCATACAATACCTGTTTTTAACCCAAAGTCTTTTTTCAGAGAGCTAGATAAATCTATATCTACCTTTATCTGGAATAAGACCATCCCACGAATAAGGAGGGCACATCTTGAGAAACAGAAAGAGGCTGGAGGCTTAGCATTACCAAATTTTTTACAATATTACTGGGCAGCTAATATTTATAAACTAATATACTGGGTCTCTGCATCTTATGACGGGGGTGGACCTGTATGGGTTGGAATGGAACAACATTCTGCTCATCCGGCGTCCCTACCTTCTTTAGTATGTGCGCCATTGCCACTCAGTAAGCAGCGCCTCACAAATAATTGTTATTGTGAGTGGCTCACTTCGAATTTGGTCCCAATTCAGGACCCACTTCAAACATAAACAGGCTATGCCCTCTCTCCCAATCTCGGCAAACACACTCTTTCCACCCTCACTCATGGATACCTCATTTAAGTTATGGTTCGAGCGGCTGGTAAATGAGTATAATATCCCCAGTTCGCATTATTTCAGGTATCAGCAGGTGCGTGTCTTTGTTCAGAAACATTTTCCTTCCTTTCCGTTACTCTCGCCAAATGACTGGATAGATGAGTGGTTGGAGGGGGATCTAAATCAAAGAGGAGGAGTGAGCAGATTATATGAGGATATCCAGCTGATTGCCTCGCCGTCACGTAGTCATAATTAGGGCAGGGTGGGAGGGGGAACTAGGATTTGAAGTGTCGGACGTCTCCTGGCAAAGCGCAATTAAGAGAATACATACATTCAACTTCGATTTGTATCAGACATGGTTTACTTCAGTTTAAGGTGCTCCACAGGCTTCATCTATCTAGGAGTAGGCTTGCCAGGATATATCCGACTTGCTCCCGATGCTGTCAGGCTCCGGCTACCCTCTATCATATGTTCTGGGCTTGCCCAAAGTTGATACAGTTTTGGTCTTTAATTTATGATCCCCCCCACCTCCCAGACTGGACTTCATATCACAGTCAGCCAAGTGAGGAGAGCGCTGGAGAGGCTCAAACAGAGGAAAGCTGCTGGACCGGACCGCATCAGCCCTTGTGTACTGAAGGCATGTTCCAGCCAGCTCTGTAGAGTTTTCCAGCACCTCTTCAACCTGAGTCTGCACCTTCAGAGAGTGCCAGTGCTCTGGGAAACAACCTGCCTGGTCCCAGGGCCCAAAAAAGGACATTCCGTGACACTGGAGGACTACAGGCCAGTAGCACTGACCTCTCACTTCATGTAAGTCATGGAGAGACTGGTCTTGGCACACCTCAGACCATTAGTATGCCCATCGCAAGACCCCCTGCAGTTCGCATATCAACCTCATGTGGGGGTTGATGATGCAATCATCTACCTGTTTCAGAAGGCCTATTCCTCCCTGAACAGACCTGACACCTTAGTCTGCATCATGTTCTTCGACTTCTCCATCGCCTTCAACACCATCCAGCCCAGACTGCTGAAGGCCAAACTGGAGAACACGCAGGTGGGTGCTCCCCTCATCACGGGGGTCGATGAATATCTGACGGGCAGACCGCAGTTTGTGAGATTAAAGAACTGTGTGTCTGACCGTCTGATTAGTAACATCGGGGCCCCCCAGGGAACTGTACTGTCTCCCTGCCTCTTCACCACCTACAGTGCAGTACTGCACTGAGTCGTGTCATCTGCAGAAATACTCTGATGACATGTCTATTGTAGGGTGTCTGGAGGGCAGAGGGGAGTCTGAGTACAGGGACCTGGTTGATCGCTTTGTGAAGTGGTGTGGGGAGAACCACCTGCAGCTGAATGTGGCAAAGACAAAGGAGATGGTGGTGGACTTCAGGAGGAACAAGCCCCTGCCCTCTCCTGTCAGCATCGGTGGGACAGATGTGGACATGGTGTCGGCATGTAAGTACTTGGGTGTCACACTGGACAACAAACTGGACTGGTCCACAAACTCAGAGGCCATCCACAAGAAGGGCCTGAGCCGGCTTTACTTCCTGAGGAGGCTCAGGTCCTTCAATGTCTGCAAGAGGATGTTGCAGATGTTTTGTCAGTCTGTTGTGGCGAGCACCATCTTCTTTGCTGCAGTGTCCTGGGGTGTGGGCATTAAGGCAAGGACGCCAACAGACTGAACAAACTCATCAAGAAGGCAGAGTCTGTTGTTGGCTTGAAGCTTGCCACCCTGGAGGAGGTGGTGGACGAGAGGATGCTGGCAAAACTGCTGGCAATCATGGACAATCCCTCCCACCCCCTCGACACAACACTGGACAAGCTAAAGAGCAGCTTCAGCAACAGACTCATTCATCCTCGCTGCTCTAAGGAACGATATAGAAAATCGTTCCTCCCCACTGCAATAAGACTTTCTAATAATAATTGACTCTTAATCAGCTGCTATAACATTGTAATTTCCCTTCGGGGATAAATAAAGTATTTCTATCTATCTATCTATCTATCTATCTATCTATCTATCTATCTATCTATCTGTACAAAGGTGCCTAACAACACCTCTTAAGCTCACGAATTAAAAGGTCCAGTGTGTAACATTTAGGAGGATCTATTGGCAGAAATGGAATATAATATTCAGGTATTTCATTGGTTTTCATTAGTGGATAATCACCTGAAAACCAAACCAAGTGTTATGGACAAACCAAACACTGGCCTTTTTGTGTTTTCCCGGGTTTCATGGCCATTGTAATTTCTGTTACACGCTTGGAAGTGTAACTTGTATTTAGTTGGCTGAAACCTCCTATTTCACAGCTAGAGGCCACTAAATCCTACACAAAGGACCATTATGTAGGATTTTGTGGTATCTAACGGTGAAGTTTCAGATTGCAACCAACTGAACACAGCTCACTTCTATATTTGACAACCTAGGTTTGAGAAGAGGATCTAAAGTATGAGGAGGAACTACAGTGGTGCGAAAACCGTAAAAAACATATTTTATCTACAGCCAATGTTTGGCTTGTCTGTTCTGAGCTACTGTAGAAACATGGCGGTTCAACATGGTGGACTCCATGAAAGGCAACCCGCTCCCTCTGAAAAGACAATGATTCCTATATCCAGGTGATTCTACACTAATGAAAACATACCTATGAATACCTATGAACATTATATTCCTGAAATACACATGACTACTACGTTACTCTGCATGCATTGTCACGTAATATGAAATGCATTTAACGGAACTCACTCAAGTCCTTACTCACCAAACTATGGCTCTATTGTAGACTACTCCAGCCTTTTTGATGTGTTTATCACTAAAGCAGTGGTTATATCTCATGAGGAGGAGTCTCTCAAATCATTTGGCAGACAACCTGTTCCTCCTCAGAGCCCTAACTCTAACCCTAACTGCGTCTAGGCGATTGTTGAAATTCATGGATATTGCAAAGAAACTATTCGGGATCTCCATCATCTCCCTGACTTCAAATATTCACTGACTACAAATGACTGAAGAGCTACAGTATATTCTAGCATCAAAGATGTCTTTCATTCTTACTGCTGTATTACTTCTGCTGCTGCAATCACCACACAACCAGAGATCAATAAGTTGTATTTTATCTTTTTATCTTGTTTTAGTAATCAAAAATGTCTGTAATAAGAATTGACTTTCATTTGTCAAACACAATTACAGATTATCAGCCTCTCTATTAACTTCACAAGGTAAATAAACTCTTACCAGTAACTAATTTAGATTCAGATTAAAAAAAGGAAGATATTTCAGCAGTGCATAAAAGTTGGATGTGATAATAACAATAATATAACAGAGTGGAAGAGACTAGACAAAGATTCAAAGGAGCCCTTGTGAGGATGCAATTGAGCAGAGAAATGCCATCTCATCATCCTGCTCTTTTATAAATGACAGTGAAACAAAGGGCAGATTTTTACCCTCCATATCAACTCACCTTCCGCTTGTCTTTCTGTGCTGGAGGGAGCAAGGCCCTTGAGCGCTCTGCAATTTTCTGAAAGAGGAGCAAACGAAGAGGCAGGGTCAAGAAGATCTTTTTTTTTTCATTAAGGAATTTTTTGATTTTGCCTGTATGTGCAACAAGTAGCACTTTAGATATGTACAACCTTCTGCCAAGGGAGCAGCTCCATCTATTTATCAGTCATTAATAAGAATTCATTGGCCATACCATGAATTTATGACTCAAATGGAGATACTCTAAATGTAGATTAAATATGGATACCTTCTGTAGATCCCCATAACGCTGCACAGACTCTGAGAGTTCAGTCTTTAGTCTGGTCAGGCGCAGACGGTCTTGCTGTGTAACAAAACAAGATTAGCTTTAATTAGCCCAAATGTTGTTTAATCCACTGTTTATTCTTCAAAAAAATGACAGTGAATGAGGGAGGAAGGGGAGCATGAAATACCCGTGAAGAACCGCTGATTATATCAGAGAGCTGTTTGATGAGCTGGCTTGTGCTGGTGATGACTTTGTTGGTTTGCTGCTGCATGGAGTGTCTGGGGAAAAAAAGATTTGAAGAAAGACAGAGACAGAGAGAGAGAGACAACATTTAGTGGATTATGACAAAACTAAATTAAAGGACACTTGCCAATATGGCAATATTTTTTTATTCAGTTGTCAGGGTTTAAACGCAAGATGAACACAACCGTCATGTCATGGAAATTATATATACATTCTTAAAAACCTGTTTAAAGAAATAATCCATTCTAAAATGAAAAATCCCAACACTTTAAAAAACAAGTTAAAGTCTATAGTCTATTATAGTCTTATATATTAATTTCGGACAGAAATAAACCCCTCTCTTATATGTATATATATACATATCTATGTATATATACATATATACATATGTATGTATATGTATGTATATATATATATATATATATATAAAATTATATATATGTATATATATATATATATATATATATATATATATGTATATATATCTATATATATACATACACACATATACATATATATATACACACATATACATATATATACACACACATATATATATATATACACACATAATATATATATATATATATATATACATAATATATATAAACACACACACACACACACTAATAAAACTACTACTTTTTATAGGACTACTTGGTGATTATTTTCTTTACCAATTAATCTGTTAATCATTTTCTCCATTAATTGATTAGTTGTTTGTTCCATAAAATGTTAAAGAATTGTTAAAAATGTCAGTTTTTCCCAAAGCCAAAAGTAACGTCCCCAAATGTCTTGTTTTGTCCACATCTCAAAGACATTCAGTTTACTATCATAGACGACAAAAAAAAAGCAGAAAATATTCACAACTGAGAAGCTGAAATCAGAGAATTTGGACAAGACTCAAAACGATTAATCAATTATCAAAGCAGTTGGCGATTCATTTAACAATTGACAATTAATTGATTAATCAACTAATCGTCGCAGCTCTAGCGGCCGCCAGTAAAATCTGAAAACACTGCGCTTTGTATAGCCACAATCTATCACTAGTATATTTTCAAGCACAGCACTTCCTGGACATGAAAAACTAATTTCCTCCAAAACTGCAGACAACACCATTTAGCTGTATATAAATATAACTTTTAGGAGACAGGGTTTCTTAATGGACCAGAATGTGATGTAGTTGTAGTCACATTCTGTATTATGAGAAAGCCCAAACATTTAAGGTACCAGTATACTCAGATTTCAGAGTCACTTCAACGGCCACGTTCAACACTATGAATGTCTCACAGGAGAGAATGGCAGTATTCCGAACCGCCTACTACATACTACAGATGAACAGTATGAAACTGTGAAATCGATCTATTTTGCAGTATGCACTGGTCTGTGTGACTGTGGGGTGAGACATGTCTAAGAGTGTGACTGATCGGCTGGCTAGCTAGCTAGGAACTTCTCAACTCTGAAAACTTTGGAGCACACAATCGATTCATCTTCAATTTTCTTTCACCTTAAATCTCAGATTTCTCAGAAATGGAGCGAAGCCTGTGAGCTAGTTCATGCAGGTCTACTCGAGCTGTGCTGATTACACACATGACATGCCTTATTCCATAATCACTAACGAAGCACTCCCTTCCAATCTGGTGGTCTATTTAAACTGCACAATTTCCCAGCTCTCCCTCTGCTCTGTCAATACCGCTGTTGCCCTGCATCCGTATTGCTGCTGCTACTCTGTAAGTTATTGCTGCCTGCTGCTCTGTAAGCCCCACCACCACCCCAGCATCCACCTGTAGGCTCCGACTGGGGGTTAAGATATTTGCTCATCACTCCCCAATATCTCTATGTAAACAGATCTGCGGGGAGTGATGAGGTCGGAGCCAAATCTAAATATGTTATACTGCCTAATAAACATTCCAAACGTGAGTTGGCTGACTGAAAAGAAGTTAGTGATAAAATTGCAAAAAACGTCGCGTTGTTGGCCTGACTGGTTGTGATTGTTCAAGCACTTTGCATTGTTTGACACAGCAGGCGAGGTAGACTGGTCAGATGCATCCTGGAGATTTCTTTCTGAATAAGTATGACATCCAAGTATTTTTGGCTTTCTGACAATTTTGCTTTTGTCTTGCATACTGCATACTACATGCTACATTTTGACCAGATCAGTATATAAATACAGTCTGTGCCATTATCCCCCTATGTAAATGCTCTCCCCTCTCTATGATGGGCAGTTTTTCATCCTGCCTTACACTGTGGCTATGACCAGCTATACACATTTTTCCCTCACTAGTTTCCAAACCAGACTATTTTTTTTCTTGCATAACTGGATCCGCAGTGTTTGTTATGTACAAAGTTCGCTAGCTAGATACATGCTCCGACCTTTGATTAAAAGTAGTGAGTTTTAAGTGGATTTGACAGTGGGCATTCTGGCAATCTAAAGAAATCACTGCAAAAGCTGCTTCACAAAAAAAGTACATTACATTTCTTCTCAAAAAACCCTAACCCTTTTAACTAACCCTTGCAGGACTCTCTGAGCCAGAATGCTCTCAGGTATATGATTACATTTGACCAGCACAGTGACTGAGTATTAACAGCTGTCTGATAGAGGTGAACAGTGTTACACAGCCAAATCCTCTCTGTTCCTTAATGTTTTTACTGGGAAGCTTTGCCGGAGGTGAAAGGTTGAAGGTGCGCCCTTATTCATAACTCTCAAACACGTCCGCTGCAAGTCTGGGTTAGGACAGTTATTAAATATCTATGCTGTCAGGTCATCCCGGGCTTACAACCCCCTCTCTCCTCGCTTCCCCCAAAGGCCAACTCACATCCTCCAGACTTTGACACTATAACGGGCTGCCCCGCAGAGATAGGCAGCTACACAAACACACCCCTGCTGCTGCATACCCTACTCAAATATTGATCTACGCGTAGAGGGTGGCAGGAGGAGCAGATAAGCTGTAGTGCACTGGGGCTAGAGGGTAGCATGTCACTATAATTCTGTCTGTTGTGAGAAAAAGCCAGAGTGTCACGGTGGAAAAATACCTGAAAAACATCACCCATCATATCTGTGCCGAGCAGGGTTAAAGACAGTTGAAGAGTCAGGGAAGTAGACAGGGTAGAAGTTAATTTTGCTGCTAGAAATAAAAGTTTTACTGTGAGGAAATAATTAAATTGGATTGCAGCCAGTGTCTCTCCCTGGCCAAAGTCATAACAGACAGAAATAGTGTCTTCAATGTGAACAAGTTTTACACTTATAATCTAATCAGAATTTAAGGCTTTAAAAAGCCAGAATGTGGTCTTATATCACCACAGTGACAGTAGGTGATAGTAAAGCTGTATATGCTTGAGATCAGTTAGTATGATAATATGAATTAGATATTCCAAAGAGTACTGTATAGCATTGTAGTGTATAATCAATGAAATAAAACATTTCCATTTTACTTTACTAACTTGTCTTGGGCTAAGTACTTTACGGGCTTGATTTGCCTATATGATCAGCTGTACACATGCTTTGATACACACACAACAGAAAGATTAACCAGCACTAAACCTCGGCCTGATGCGTCATCGTTTAGCTGCTTCACATGTCTTTGCAACAGACATGAAGGGTTATTTTGAAATTGTAGCCAGCTAATGCTCCATCATGTTAGCCACCAATATTACAAAGCAGAGTACAGACTGCTAGACTGGCACTCTGCATTAGGGATCCGGAGGAATAGCAAATGAAAGTCAGTATCAGTGTGCAGCTTTGAGTGAAACATACAGAATGTTTTATTTTAGGAAACACTGTTAATGCGTCAAACAATCTACAACATGTCATTTAAATAGTTAAACTCGCCAATGACAGAATCCCACTCCGCTTCATCTCAGTTATGAACATGTTACCTTGTTTTGATTGTTACAAACAACTTAAAGGGAACTCCAGTGAATCACTATTGCACAGTTCAGTGTGTAAGATTCAGGAGGATCTATTGGCAGAAACTGAATATTCATAGATATATTTTTCTTAGTGTATATTCACCAGAAAATAAGAATTATTGTGCTTTTGCCCTTTTTATCTACAGAGCCAACAGATACCAAAGGGGCCTGGGGTGGCCACCCCTGAAATCTGATTAAGCACCACCTCAATATAAAGGAGCAAAGAATGGATGGAAAACTGTTTTTGTGCTTCTCATTTGTTAAGAATTTGACTATATGGTTTGCTGATCTGACTGGTTGAAGTTCCCTTGTGATAGATGGTGATAGACAGATGGTTCATCCAATCACCTGTGAAGTATTTTTTGTGTGTCTGCCCTTTTCCAAACAGTTTCCAATGACGATTTTGCAGATCTGGTACTTTAGGTTGCACAGTAAACAAAGTATGAAAGGCAGACCAATGGACCAACGAACATCGCAGTTCCTTTTAGTCGAAAAATCCAGTTAAAAAAGAGCAGTTGTCAGCTGTAGGTCAATTTCTGCTCAGTGACCAGACTGGGAGGATTTTAGTAAGTGACTCAATCTGCATCAACTTAAATAGATGGAAAGGTGTATTTTTTTGACAAGGAGAAGTAGCAGCAAACAAAGGGAATCCTTAAAAACTTCTGGTCTAAAAATACAACCTGAGCTGTGCTTCAGTGCTGATGAGCTCTGATGGATCATCCGTGAGTCAGTGGAAGCCCCGCCCACCACTGACACGCTGTTACCAAACAATCAGAGCTCGCCCACTACCGAGGACCCCTGAGAAGACCTTTGCAGTATCGCTGCACAGTGATACATCTGCTAGTCACACTCTTCCCCCACAACGAGCTCGAGAGCCAGGCGGCCAGAAACAACATGCGAAAGATTGGAATTGCTCACACTGTGAATTTCAATCAGCCACCTCGGTTGTGTATTTCTCATTGCTTGCTTGGTGTTTGGTATTCCTTTGAGGTCTGGCTGGCCCTGGTGAAGGGAAACTGAGGGGACTGGGAGCAGCTGGCTGCAGGGGGAGGTGTGAAGGATGGAGGGGGTGCCAGGGTGGTTGTGGTGGGGTGCTGTTCTCTGACTGCAATCATAGTTTGAGGGC